ATGGTGTTCCTGTTGGCTACAGAGTAGCGCTGTCAAACGTATATATATACACCAACATCATATACATCAAGTGTATGACAACACAAACACTGTTGTCTGTTCGCATTATGCATGATCTCATTGGTAATCCCCCCCACCCCACCCCCCCAAATCAAAAATCTAAAATATAATGTTGTGAAATAATAACTGTTTTAATATATTTTAGAATGCACTTTATTCTTGTAATGGCAAAGCTGAATTTTCTGCATCATTACTCCAGTCTTCAGTGTCATGATCCTCATGAAATCATTCTACTGTAATATGCTGATTTGGTATCAATGTTGAAAACAGTTGTGCTGCTTAATATTTTTGTCATAACCATGACAATTTTTTTCTTTGATGAATAGAAAGTTCAGTAGAACATTATTTGAAATAGAAATCCTTTGTAACATTATAAATGTCTTTACTGTCACTTTTGATCAATTTAATGCAACCTTACTGAATATTTCATATGTTTGCATGGACACTGAAATGTACATTATTAAAGTAAAACATAAGCATTTTATGTATGAAAAACATTGGGCGTACAAATACTATGAAAACGTTTAGTTCAGAAAATATTGAATTCATAGATGAATTAAAAATGTTAAAAGCCATTATATTTATTTAACACGTTTGACATGATTAACTTTTTCATTCTGTTCTGTGATTACATGATTTTACCTAACTTAAAAATGTTGAAATGAAAGAAAATTCTGTCATCATTCAATTAATATGTAATAGTAAAATTTAACTATGCAAATTTAATTAATTTATTTTTAGTTATTTATCATTTATATTTTAATTTATAATTATATTTACTTTAATAAATTATAGTAAATTTATAATTTTAGTTATATTTAAAGTAATTTATTTGTAGTTATTAGTAATTTATGCAAACATTTTGTAACTTTTTTACGTTTCTAAAATGTAAATAAATTTTTGATGTTGTCAGCATGTTTCAGCATTTAAAGGGGACATCGGATGAAATTTTCACTTTTTTAGCTTTTTTGCACTTAGTTAGGTTGCTGGCGTGTCTGCCAGCTCAGAAAAGCTGAAAAGAAAACACGCAGCCAGTTTGTTATGGGCTGTCTGAGTCTGAACCTGTGTCATCCAGCGAGCTGTTTCAGTTTACAGCCGGTTTCTATGTAGATAGCTAGTTATTTGAATAAGACCACCTCTGAGCCATATACATATATATTCACATATCTAGTGTTGATGCCCCACGGAAGAGAAGCCAGGACAGAAATAGGCATGATCATATCTCCTCCAGAAATACAGCGTGACAACCTGTTCATAAATAATGTATATTAAACAAACATTCACTCAGAACAACAGCAAAGCCAAAGCAACTACATTTGCATTTCCTGACGGAAATACAGTGCTTGCTAAGTCGCAAAAGTTTTTGTTATACTAATAAGTAAACTCAAACAGATTGATATGCACAAATACTACTACTACTACTAATTATTATTGTTGTTGTTGTTGTCGTCACTACAATAATAATAATTACTATTATTTTTATTAAAAAACAACAAAAATAATGGCCATTGTCGTTGTTGCTGCTGTTATATTAGTTGCAGGGATAATAATAACATAATAATAATAATAATAATAATAACAACAACAGTAATGACAATGACCATTATTGTTGTTGTTGTCACTACAATAATAATAATAATAATAGTTGTTGTACTTAACAACAACAATGATAATAATAATTGTCATTATTATTATTATGATTTTGTTGTTTGTTTACTATTTTTGTTGTAGCTGTTATTTATATTAGTTGTAGTGCTAATATTAATAATAAATACTTAATATTAATATAATATAATAATTAAACAATGAAGAATAAATATTTATAAACTATAAAATACATCTTAAGCCACTATTAAATAAGCAAATTTCTAAATCTTAAAATCTTAAATCTTAAAACAAAATCTAATAATATTTCAATTGCAAACTCAAACTGTTACGATAATGTAAAGCCATTATATTTATTTAACACGTTTGACATGATTAACTTTTTCATTCTGTTCTGTGATTACATGATTTTACCTAACTTAAAAATGTTGAAATGAAAGAAAATTCTGTCATCATTCAATTAATATGTAATAGTAAAATTTAACTATGCAAATTTAATTAATTTATTTTTAGTTATTTATCATTTATATTTTAATTTATAATTATATTTACTTTAATAAATTATAGTAAATTTATAATTTTAGTTATATTTAAAGTAATTTATTTGTAGTTATTAGTAATTTATGCAAACATTTTGTAACTTTTTTACGTTTCTAAAATGTAAATAAATTTTTGATGTTGTCAGCATGTTTCAGCATTTAAAGGGGACATCGGATGAAATTTTCACTTTTTTAGCTTTTTTGCACTTAGTTAGGTTGCTGGCGTGTCTGCCAGCTCAGAAAAGCTGAAAAGAAAACACGCAGCCAGTTTGTTATGGGCTGTCTGAGTCTGAACCTGTGTCATCCAGCGAGCTGTTTCAGTTTACAGCCGGTTTCTATGTAGATAGCTAGCTATTTGAATAAGACCACCTCTGAGCCATATATATGGAGTCCTAGGCAGCAATTCAGCATCTTGCATCAACAAGCCCCATGGAAGAGAGGGGTGGGGTGAGCAGTAGCTCATTATCATTTAAAGAGATATGCACTGAAACGGGTCGCTGACTTGCTGTGAACAGAGCAGTTTTTTAAATATATTAATTCTTTGTTTTTGAAATAAGATTAAAAAAGGATGATGGTTGACAAACAGATGGATAGTTAAATTCCTCTAAGTTCCACTGGATGATAAAAACACAAATGTCCTGGCACTGGGCCTTCCTCAGTGCGTTAAAGGTGGGGCAAGTGATTTCTGGTAGCCAATGTTGATATTTCAAATGACCAAAACAAACACGCCCCTACCACAAAAGGGTCTCGCCCCTATTTTGATAGCTCCGCCCCACACATACGTACGCAACCCAGGCAACGATTATGGTGGAATCTGCTGTATTTATTATCTGCTGTGCTATATTAAACATATTATCTTACTTTTCGGACACACTTTGGGAGCTGACGCTTGAAACAGACAGTGGAGGAGGTTTAGACGCACCAGGCTTAGGGTGTGGAAATGAATGTGTCTTTATCATAGCTGAAGGGAACGACAATACGATTGCAGATGAACAAACAAGCGAACATGACACACGAGCATATTCAAGAAAAAGCCAGCATATATTAGTTCTGTGAAACAAAGCAAAACCAATGTTACTCACCTATCGAGAAGAAACAAAGCAACCTCGGCGTCCGATCGCAGGCCTTCCGCTCCTTGAGTTCTCTCCAGTGCTGGAAAGCTGATCCGATATTTACACGGGTCCTACTTCTTGCCTTATCGTTCCGCAGACGTTTTCCTCTTTTGTTTTTTATCCGCCATCTCTATCTTTCTGTCGTCACTCGGCTCGGCAAATGTCCGTCCTGTGCACTGAGCGCTCTCTCCTCACCATCATGAGAAGACACGCCCCTTACTGCTGATTGGCTACAAGTTTGTTTTGGTACTCTGCATGACTCAGTTTTTTAAAGCGTTTTTGAAAAAATACATACCCCACCTTTAAGGTTCAATATGCCCATCCCCTCTTAAAAACCATCATGTGGGCCATTATCCTAATTATAACTCATTGAGTAAAATGGATTTACTCACCAGTTGGACTATGAATTGAGGGCAATTTCTTAAGGGTAAAGTTGGGTTAACAAGGCCTTGATGCCCATTTGTGATTCTCGGGTGAGGATTCCTGCCGTTGCTTATTTGCATGTGCTTTAGCACTCAGTTCACTTAAGGAATTATGCAAATCAGATAATGGTGCAAACACAGCCATGAGAATAGTGCTGGTAGCAATTTGCACTGGACTATTCTCCAGGTTACAGGCTGGTTCTGAACTATAGGTAGTATAGGATGCCAGTGATAAATAATAATGAAAAAAATTATAATTTAATTTAATAATAAATTATGAACAAAGTATTTTACGTCTTACAAAAAGAATGTGTAAATAATGGAAAAATATTTTCATTCGTTAGTATGTCTGGAGTACTTTGGGATGAATAAAATTGTGCTGCTACACTTGAATATACAATACAGAGAAGTTTAAAATTATTGTACCTTGTACAATAACACTTGCTTAGTGAGATATAGAGCTGTTGTGTCAGTTTGACTTACAGCTGAAGTGCTTCTCATGTTTAATCCTGTTAATTCAGACAGCTGTGAAATAGCTTCAGCTCTTTTATATTATTAGCATTTATCTTTTGTGGATCTCACAGGAAAAATGAGCAACCTTTTCTGACAACACAATCTCAAAATAAGCCTCCCCCAAAACATGGCTAAATTGGCTAAATACAGGTGCATCTCAATAAATTAGAATGTCGTGGAAAAGTTCATTTATTTCAGTAATTCAACTCAAATTGTGAAACTCGTGTATTAAATAAATTCAGTGCACACAGACTGAAGTGTTGTCCTTTCAGGAGGGAACTGCTTGATTTAATCTGACTTATTTTAGCATTTGGCTAGAATAAGTTGATTTTTACAATTCAGGGAGCCTCTATTATACATTTGATAGGTTTTATCTGTAACACTGCAGAATAACTTTAATTAATAATGTGTTGACCTTGTTTATTGGTTATATCCTTTACCATGTGCCAGACAGCTGCGTAATGATGCAAAGTGATGTCTTTTCAGTATTGTTACTGTACAACTGGATCTGTAAATCAGTAAGTGTACAAATATGCATTTTCTGAGTTCCCATACTTTTAAATTACTTAATGAAATACAAGCTGCTTACTTAATAGACATGTCAACTCAACGAAAGGAGAGTATGTACACAGCGCCATCTAATGGTGACCAGACACAAATGATTTCTCTGGCACAGTGGATCTGTAAAGCAAACCAATCCAGAAGCTTGGCTGATATTTTTGTTTGTACATGTGTGTTTTGTCTTTTAGAGATAGTGAGAGCCATGACGCATGTCATTAACCATGGCATGTCCATGTACTGGGGCACGTCACGCTGGTCAGCGATGGAGATCATGGTGAGTGGAGAGGACAAACTTCTGTGCACTTTTCCTTAATGCTTCCTTTTGTTATTTAAGTCAGTCCTGATGATTAAATTATTTTATACTGTCGTATTTAATGCATATTAAACCCGTCTTCAAGATTATTTGGTTGTTTTTAATTGTCCATGTCAGTATCTGTCTGGGTATTTACAGTTGTTGTTGTTTTCTTGTCTTTATTCATTCATATCATTCTCTTCTCATTTTTGTCATCTCTCTCTCCCTGTAGGAGGCGTATTCTGTAGCGAGGCAGTTTAATCTGATTCCTCCTGTGTGTGAACAGGCCGAATATCATTTATTCCAGAGGGATAAAGTGGAGATGCAACTGCCTGAGCTTTACCATAAGATTGGTACAAACAAACACAAATTGTATATACACATAAACACACATGATTAAAATATGATCTATGACACAGCCTAAAGACACAGTCTTGCACCGCAGGTGTTGGTGTGGTATCCTGGTCTCCTCTAGCCTGCGGCATCATCACAGGGAAATATGAAAACGGCATCCCAGAATCCTCCAGGGCCTCTTTGAAGGTACTTTAAAGGAGTAGTTCAGCCAAAGATGAGTTTGCTGAAAATGTACTCACCCTCAGGCTATCCAAGATGTAGATGAGTTTGTTTCTTCATTAGAATAGATTTGGGGAAATTTAGCATTACATCACTTGCTCACCAATGGATCCTCTGGGTGCCGTCAGAACGAGAGTCCAAACAGCGGATAAAAACATCACAGAAATCCACAAGTAATTCACACAACTCCAGTTTATCAATCAACGTCTTGTGAAGCAAAAAGCTCAGTGTTTGTAAGAAACAAATCCATCAAGGCATTTTAACTTGAAATAGTTTTTAAATAGTTGCTTCGGCTGTTTGGACTCTCATTCTGACGGCACCCATTCACTGCAGAGGATCCATTGATGAGCGAATGATGTAATGGTAAATTACATTTTGATTTTTGGGTGAACTATTCCTTTAATCCTGTGTGTCATGGCAGACACATAATTTCCTCAAGACATAAGGATGGATATCTGTTGATTAAACTGATATTTATCCAACTGAATAGTGCCAGATTTCTAGTGCCAGTGATTTAGGAGCTCATATAGTTCATAGATTACACCTTCAGCTAGTATACAGCGATGAGGGTGGCAGGTCTGTCAGGGCAGATTTTCTGTGCTTGTCTCACTCTCTCTCTCTTTCTCTCTCTGCAGTCATACCAGTGGCTGAAGGAGAAGATTCTGAGCGAGGATGGCAGAAAGCAGCAGGCGAAGCTTAAGGAATTGACCCACATAGCTGAGAAGCTCAGCTGTACCCTGCCACAACTTGCCATCGGTAGGTCAAAATAACTTTTTCACTTCAACTGTCACAAAGTGCAACATACATTATCACTGCCATAGTGACTCAACTGTCACTGTTTACATAGAGTAAAATACTGAATTTCTGCTTTCATGCACATTTCCTGACTGAGAAACAAACCTTGACATTAATCCACAGAGCGTTAAAGTCACCAAATCTGAGGGTTGAAAAAAAAGACATACAATTACATACTTAATGAAAAACAAACTTGGCTTTTTTTTTTTTAGTTGGAAGCATTTTTATGATTTGGAAAATCTTGATGGTGACTCTTTTACAGTTTTAATGTATGTTTTAATAAATGTGGTGGTGGGTAATATTCTATTCAAAAATGTATTATATATAATTTATTTATGAAATATTTTTAATTATCTATTTATTGTGTATTTTTATTTCTATGTAGTTTTATTTTTGTTTATTAATAATAATGATAATAAATATTTTCTGAAAAAATGTGTTCATATGTGTATTTTTTTAAATAGTCAATAATTATTTAAATTTTGCTTTATTTGTTTATGTTATATATTTATTATTATTAATAATAATAATAATACATGTATGAAAAAATACTTAAAAATTAATTTTATTGTATTTTTTTTTCTCAATGTAAACAGTTTGATAGACAAAAAATATTTTGTAAAAAAAAAACTGTACTGTTAAAAAAATCCTGTATCAACAATCCTTCCAGTAGCATTTGGCTGCAGCACCCGATCAGAATCCCACCAGCTCAATTGAGATTCCCATGATTCACTGGCTTGAAACTTTCATACATGTAGGACTAAATGACAGATTCCTTATAAATCTATTCTGTGTGTTCCTCTGTAGCCTGGTGCCTCCGTAATGAAGGAGTGAGTTCTGTTCTCCTGGGGACCTCCAACCCTGCACAGCTCACTGAGAACCTGGGGGCGATACAGGCAAGAGTTTTATCAAAACATCTCAAACACACTATGGAATCACTGCCATCCCACAAACTCTGGTGGCCTGTTACAGCTCTGTGCTTTCATCTCTTAACACCTATCTTCTGAATCTCACATGGTTAATTTACATTTAAAACATCAAAAACAGGATATTGCTTGATGTAATTTTTATGTGCCAAGGCAAAATTTCACACACTGATAAGAGATCCAACTAAATCGGCTTCAGATAAAGATGGTTTTATGTAGTTTCTAGCTTGACGAAATGGTTGGACTAGAATTTAGACACAGTCTTCCTCGACCATGGAGAAAACTTGTAACGGGGCTTCAAGATGACTTAAAAATATTTAGATTAAACAAGCATTAAAATAATTTAAAACAACTAAAAATCAAGATGAATTTTATTTGAATTCATCCCATGTGTTTTAGTAATTAGATCTACATTCTCGCTTACAGGTTCTTCCAAAGATCACTGCTCTCGTGGCCTCAGATATCGACAAAATCCTGGGTAACCGTCCCCAGAGTAAGAAGGACTACCATCACTAGGCCTTTCTGTGAACCTGTAAGCCTTGAGACTCAGGATCCCGTGCCAGCCCTCTTGTTTCGGCGGGTGTCCACAGTGTGTGATTCCCACCATTGTGTGTCTGTGTCAACTTCTCCTGCAGAGAGCCATTGTTACAGTTACAGTAGAAATGCTAAAGTGTTATGCATGTTTCTGTTCGACCTAAACCTGAGCTTAACCTCGCATTAAGATCTCTGTGGAGGCACACCTGCCTGAGAAGCACAGAAGCTCCTGGACTCCCTCGTCTGTGGGGTTTTGTATTCAGCTGTCATAACCCATATGTGCCAAAGTCAACCTGGTCTTGACCCTTGACCTCCAGACATCCATTCTGAAAAGGGACGAATGACAGGCCCTTATGAATGGCCCTGATTACCGTCCGTAAAACACTGTAGGGAAAATAAAGTAAGGAAAACGCACTGCTTTTCATTCTGAGAATGTACAAACTAAGAACTGTGATGTATGGCAGAGCAGCATGTAGAGTTGAACTGTGTACGATGTGTGTGCATTGATAAAAATGTGTTGGATTAAAAAGCCATCAACAGCAAAGTAGGCTGTTATTGTGTTTAATTGTTCTCCAAAAAGTTTAACATCGTCAAACGGCTGTGTATGTTTTCTTTGTAAATCCTGCAATTTGTGTCATGTCTGATCTGTTCGATAATATAATACTTCTCTGTTGTTTTAAATGTACATTATAAAAGAAACTTAGTTTGTTCAAATGCTTTTCCAGTGATAAAAGTACACTGGTTAAAGATTTAAATGCTAAGCAGTACATACTTGAGTCCAGAGAGTGCTAGAAATGCACAATTACTAAAAGCAACTAGTTAATGTCAGTGAGAAATGGGGTCAAAATGTTTACAAACTTGAAAACGATGAAGCTGTCAATGAATGAATTATGCAGAGTGCTTTTAACATTCAAATAAAAATGTGCATCTCTAGTTTATGGTGTTTTGGTATATATAAATGTTTTTAACCATTTTAAGTTACTTTGCTGTTAGAACATGGTACAAAAAGTCGCCTGGAAACAAAATAACCTGAAAAGTGTGGGCTACAGTTAAAAAGAGAAAAAAAATGAAACATAACTAAGTAGAAAAACTAGGCCATTACTGAACGGAAAAAAACTAGGTCACACGAGGCTGCTAAAATACTGAATAACGTAAACATTACCTTATGTCTCCATAGAGACTACACCCCTCCCTTAATGCAACAAGCCCCGCCCACTTAGGTTTTCTATTGGATAAACGTTATGTCAGTTTCAAATTTCTGTTTTTTCATTGGTTCTTCCCTTCTCGTCACCTTATTTTGATTCCATACGCGCCAAACATTGTTGGCCGTGACATACTTAACGCAAACACTTCGAGCCAGCACTGTTTATTGCCTTTGAAAACGGCAAAATCCTGGTTTGTTTGTAAGAAAGGGTTTGTTTTGTTATTTATTATTGAATTTAGCCGTCTAAAAGGAAAGAAGGGACAATCCCTCTCTCTGTCTCCAAGGCAGCAGGCAGTAAACTGAAAGCACAGCAAGTGTGTTGTTGAAACGAGCAGTGTGGTGGGTGAGTCGCGCTCTTTATAATCATGATGTATTAGTTTGTTATGCGATGTGTATATATATATATATGCTCAAAGCTTTCTAGCTAGTCTCGAAAACAATAACGACGTTGGTTAGAATCTTATTTATGATTGTCCACTTTGATTTAAAGCGCATCGGCGATGTGGCTGATGCACGGTCGGAGGAGCAGCCCCAGGGGCGACAGTGTGTGTGTTGCTGATGGTGACTGCAGTATCAGCAGAATGATGAAGACTGACTTCTGCATGAACCAGTCATTCCCCTCCGCACGCAACTGCACTCTCAACCGCATGGACGCATCAGGTGGGCCAGACTGCTGTCACACATGTGCAACGATGTATGGACACTGAAAAGATCCTAAATATTATATAATAATATAAAATAATAACTATAAACAGCGTCGGCGCCACGGGGGGGCCTGAGGGGGCCCGGCCCGGCTACCTCGGTCACTGTGCCCCCTCACCTCTGGTGCCGTCTCCGTAGTGGGCACCCTGATTTTAGTCTGTGAGGCAGGGTACTGCCCCTGTAAGGTCTCACAGGCTGTTAAATACACAGATTAAAAGCGAAATGTTTTCATTCCGGTTCGTTCTTAGCAAAAATATATATATTTTTTCGTTCAGGTTATGCAGAGCGAAATAAGACGTACTGCATTTACAAAATAATTCTTATTAACTTTATTATTCTTGAATTTTCAAACTGCTAACACTTTGCACTTTTCAGTTTCGAATTATGCCTTTACTGTATGACCAAAAATGACGGAGTAGTCTATTTCAGCTGTTTGATCGCTCCGGCACCTCACGCGCACACTAAGCTACTGCATTCATTGGAAACAGCTCAGCCGTTCACCTTGCCGTTCGGCGTCAGCACCGGGCCACTGTGGCATATTTTTGCTCATTATGATATTTTTCCGTCGATACTGGAAGGCGCGTGAACTACAAATCTTATTTTACCTAATAAATACGCTCAGAGTTTAGCTTCAAATAGGCTACATCGCGAACATTTGGGTTTGTGCCTAATGAGAGCGGTAAGCCCAACTTTACCTTACGTTTCGTTTTAAATTAATTTGTTTTGGCTTGTTTATTGCTAAGGCTATATTATTATATACTGCAATTATATTTATCCATTAGAATTATATATATTTTTAATTCTTGTTCTGTTCTGATACGGTTAAATTTAAAGGATTTGTTGTAAAGTGAGGGGAACTAAAATATCCTATAGTGTTCATAATGTTGGTACATTATAACCAGGGGTTAAATTGGGATTTGTTATGTGGGGGGCTCTATGGTATCGAGTGTGTGTGTGTGGTTGTTGTTGTTGTTGTAAATATGATTTATTCTGAAGCAATATTCTCATCAGTTTTCTATCAGCTGTGACATAAATCTGTGTGCTTTTTATATTTTATCCAAGGGCATTTTGTTTTACCTTTATAGAGGGCATTTTCCCACTAATCTTATTACCGGTAATACTTTCATTTCAAATTCTTACATTTGATCTATAAATTAAATTATAATAATGTGATCTATACGTTATCAAATTAAGTCATTTACACTAAAAAATACAACTGCATTAAATAATATTATGAGATTCTTTTAAATATTTTTGAATATAAAAACAAGAAATGATGGTGGATATGATACTTTTCAACGAAATTAAAACGCCAGTAAGGTGCCAGTAGTGAGCGTTTAATGAGTGAGTCATTGAGTTGTTCATTCAAACGATTCGTTCAAACGGCAGATTCATCAGATGTTTATACATGGGCTAAAGAAACTTTGACTCACTCAACCAATTCGTTCAAAACACGGAATCAATCAGCAATGAATCGTCTGGTTGCTGTGAGATGCGCTGTGTTTCCGCCTAAAATGTAAGTGACCTAATATTATTGTATTTGCTTATTGAACTGTTTATAGAACTATTAAACAGTCGTAATGGTGAAAACGTTGTGTGATGTTGCCTAACTAACTGTATTTTAAATATAAAAACTTTTCATTTAGATTTTTTACCACAGCATGCTTATTTGTCTGGCGTTAATGAAGCGTTAATGTCGAGCCCTGGAGTCTATGTGCCGAGGCTCAAACCCCGGACGGCCCCGGCCCAATTTAAACCTTGATTATAACATTATTAGGCCTGCCGTTATTATTTCTAATTAATAATAATTAAAACAAAAATCGGGCTTGTGTATTTATGACACCAATTACTAGGCCTATATTCCTTTTTTTTTTTTTTCAGAAATGGAAGTAATTTAAAATGTTATTGTGTGTTTATAATTTTAATATTTTTAGCTATAGGCCTATACAGCAAACCTACAGAGCTTCCAGATTATTTTACGGAGCTGTAAACACGGGCATCTTCGACCGCATGCAATCGTTGACGAACACCCAGTTCATATATCAAAATAGGCTATATGTTATTACATTGTACATATATATCAGATTATTTTATTTACAAGTACAAAAAAACGCGGCCCCCCCAAAAAATTGTGCCTGCCCCCTCACTTTGTGCGCTCTGGCGCCGACCCTGACTATAAAACTTACCAAAATTACAACAATGCAGCATACAGCAGACGTTGTGACAATAAAATGGTACCACAATGGAGATCTCTTTAAGAATGTGTTGCCAAGTGTTTGAAAAAATATTGAAAATCTGGTTATTCAGTAGTTTCGGAGTGGTTGCTGAAGAAGATTGTTATCTGAAATAGCTAGCACAAAACAGGTGACTGGGGTACTTTTGTTCACCCTCATTTTGTTCAAACATGTATCCATTTATTTGGAACACAAAAATGTATAAGACAGAATAACATCCTCAGTCACCATTCACTTTCACTGTGTGGAAAAAAATACACTACTGTTCAAAAGTTTGGGGTTGGAATATTAAAAAAAATTTAATTAATTTGAAATAGAAATCATTTGTAATATAAATGTCTTTACTGTCACTTTTGATCAATTAATGCATCCTTGCTGAACAAAAGTATTAATTTCTTTAAAAAAAAAAAAAAAAGTTAAATCTTACTGACCCTAAATTGTTTGTTTATTGGTTTTAGTGTATGCCAGTGTAAGTCAACGGTGACTGAAGCTGTCATTCTCCTTAACATCTCCCTTGTGTTCCACAGAAGAAAAAGTAATATGGAAAAGTCCCTGGACAGTTTGGAAAAGTTTGACAGGGAGTTCATTTGCAGACTATTCATTTTTACTCATTTATTTTCCAAAAGGTGATTCTCATGTCTGTTCTTCAGTGGCGATGAGGAATCTTCAGATCTCTGATCTGCATTGCTTCCACCCCGTGTCTCCATCATCAACTCGGTCTCCAGTGTTGGAGAGCTCTCTGCTCAGACAGCTCATGTGTACTGCTCCAGAGAAGAGAGGCACAGCTCTCACCATCAACCCTAATAAAGCTGTCCTGTCCATTAACTGCACCACATTACAGGTATCGGACGATTGTTCTCACCAAAGCCCTTTTACCAATTAAACAAGGCCATATTACACCACGTTTTTGGTAGTAGGGATTCTTTGCCTGGACTTTTAGCTGCTCACCTATTCTTTGAACTATTGAGTTATTACAAAAGATTTCAATTATTTATTATTATTTATTGATGTTATCTCTTTTTGCAAGGTTTTGGATGCAAATGAACATGCTTGCAAGCTGTTTGAGTGTGCATACAGTGATTTGATTGGCCGGAAGCTGACCTCTCTCCTAAAAGCCAGTCAGATACTAGAGGAAGGCCTGAAGGAGGAGACACTGGATTCTGATGGGAACCTGGTTGCTATTTCTGCCAAAGTGGTATGAATCACTGTGGTTAATTAAACAACAATTCACTTAGCTGTCACTAAATGATTTGAATCTTGAATATTATTATTTGAGTCTTGAATATTTAATTTCTTCCACACTGCATGTTTTGTCCTTGGCTCTGATCTCTGCTTTCCATGAGCATCATTAATTAAAGCACAGCTCTGGCTCATTCTCTCCGCAGGTGAGCGCAGTGAGTTTGACAGGAGCTGAGTTTCCTGTGTCTGTGTGGCTTCAGATACCGGAGCAGCGGCAGCAGATCTTAGAGCTCCTGCTAGAGCGAGTGGAGAGAATCACAGCACACGTGACGTTCACTCAAAATGTGAGACTCATTCCCTTGCAACTAATTGTGCACTGAAATGTTATCCTTATGTATTAAGTTCAGCATTTGTAAGCATAATTTGATTACCTTAATTAAGCTTATATTGATATTATACAATAAAAATCAACAGAATTTAACTGAAACATACACTACCATTCAAAAGTTTGGGGTCAGTAAGACATAAGCAAGGATGCATTAAATGTATCAAAAGTGACTTTTACACTTTTGAACTTAGTATTCATCAAAGAATCCTGAAAAAATATATCTTGATTACCACAACAATTTTAAGCAGCACAACTGTTTTCAGCATATAATAATCTGAAGTAAAGTAAAAAAAAAAAATAAAAAAAAAGACAGGAGTAATGATGCTGAAAATTCAGCATTGCATCACAGGAATAAATTACTTTTTAAAATGTTTTAATATAGAAAAAAATTCTTTTAAATTGTAATAATATTTCACACTATTTCTGTTGTATTTTTGATCAAATAAATGCAGCCTTGGTAAGCAGAAGAGACATTTCAAAAACATTGAAAAAAAATCTTACTGACCCCAAACTTTTAAACAGAAGTGTACCTTTAAAGAAAATTGTTGTTTAAAGCTGTTGCTTAGTTGGCCAGAGAAGTTTTAGCTCCTCCTCCTGTTTCCTCAGGGCGGAATCCTCAGTTGTGACTCCACTTTTGCCCATCTCTATGGTTACCACGCTGCTGAGGAGATGACTGGCCTGTCGATCATGTCTTTGATGCCATCACTACAGATCCCCTTCCATTGCAGGACAACTCCCAAGGTCACAAAGTCTCTAAAAAAATCTTTAAGGAAACAGGTGGCATTTTTGCAGTTTCGTTTGGTCATGCTAGTGATACAGAAATTATATAAAAAAAGAACTGACTGGTTCTGTTTTTTTATTATTATTTAGACTTTGCCTTTATTTTTACGTCTTCAGTTTTCATTGTAATTTGTTTCATTTTTAGTAATTTTGTTTTGTCATTTTTATTCATTTCCCCCCCCCCCATTTAGTCATTTTAGTGTTTCAGCTGAAGTTATTTCAGTAAGTTGCCATGGCAACATTTTCAAATTTATGTATGTAATGTTTTATTTTTATTTCATTACAAAAGTGTATTATAGTTTTAATTTACAATAAAAACTCTACTGTGCACCTTTAATATAGCTTGTTTTTTACCTTTGTATTTCAGGTGTTGCGTGTTCAGAGATTGTGTGTGCAGGCTAGGTCTGGTTTGGTGCTGCCAGCATGTGTCCGTCTGCAGGCTGCTGTGTCCTGTGGAAGATCACCGCTGCAGATTAATGGATCAGCACATCCAGAACCTTCTGATGGCTCACTCATAAGCTCTAGACAGACCAACCGAACTCCTTCAGGTCAGTCTTGCACTGCAGTGTGTGCAGTTCTGATAGTTGCTTCAACAGACTGAAGTCACAAACACAGTCACCCTAGGTGTGTGTTTTCTCACACTGACATTAAAATAAAAAATATGCAGATTTCCTAACTGTGAATCAGATTTCTGTATCTGTGGGGATTTATTTATAGCCCACAGCCACTAGTTAAAGTGACTTTTCCAATATTTACTCTGACATAAATGAAATCTTTATTTTCATTGTGTTTCTTGTTGGTTTTTGTCCAATTGAATTAACTAAGTTGCTAATAAATTAAATTAGATGTAATAAATTTAAATTGCTGTTGATTTCAGTGTGATCAATGCAGTGCACTCTTGTCCTGCAGGTGGTAAATCGGGTGCGGGTGGTGTCCCGTCCCCCAGCGCAGGTGTGCTGTACTCTGGGTCAGTGTGTGTGTTTGCTCCCAGTAGCTGCCTCCTGACGCTCCTGCCCAACGGCACCATTCACAGTCTCATCAACCCCTTCAGCTCTCTGCTGCTCGGATACAACAGCAGTCAGCTGCTCGGGAAGGTATAGATGCTATGATGCTTTTGTGTTAAGTCTGTATAACTCTGTTTTAATAAAAATAGGCTTTTAGTTTTAGTGGGTCCAATTTGATTTACCTAATCCAACCAGTGTTATTTGAGTGTTATGTACTTTTTTTTATTTATTTTTTTTATTATTAGAACATGCTATAAAAGTTATAAATCAGAGATAGACAATAGGGGTGCCGACATTTGAAAACATTTACAAAGATAGAGAAAAAGAAAAACAAGAAGTAGGTGTTTTTCACAGTTTCAAGATTTTTAAAATAACATGTATAAAAGGAAAATCCATATGCTCTGTGAACATGTATGTATAGTTGCATACATAATCCACTCCACTATGTATAATCGGTTAGCAATTATTATGTATTATTCTTAAGATTGGACTCCATCTTGCCTCAAAAATATTCATCTGAAGACTAAGGGAATAAGTTATTTTTTCCATTTCGTAAATTTCTCTAATTTTTCGGATCCACTGTTCATATGTGGGTGGGTCAGATTTGAGCCATTTAGACGTGATACATTTTAGGGCTGCAGAAAATAATATTTTGAAGCAGATAACTCAATCTCCTTTCCCTCATGCCTTCAGGTATCACTCCTAGAATAGCCACGGTTGGACCAAAAGGAATATCAATATAAAATATGTCTCCAAATACTTTATAGATATCTTCCCAGAATTGTTGTATCTTTGGGCAGGACCAAAATATATGAGTGTGGTTTCCCAATAGGTCGAGTGTTATGTACTTTTATAGTTTTTATTAATATTTTCAATGAGCTTTTTCAGTATTCATTTAAATTGAAATTTTTTTAGTGCTTTTGCTATGTACTTTTTAATGTTTCCAAGCTAGTTTACATGCTAACAGCAGTCCTGTGCACCTGTGTGTAGAATGTCACATACCTGATACCAGCGTTTTATGAGCGAGTTCGTGCTGCGGACCAAAGCAACCACCCTACATCTCATCCACACGACACTTCCAGCCCATCTGACAGCTGCAGAGGTACAGAGATGTGATGCACTGTAAGGATACACACACTTTAGCTTGTGGTGCTGTGCTAAAATCCCCTCACTTCCTGTCTGTCTACTTCTCAGACCCCTGTAGATGTTCTGCTAGTGCTAACTGTCCCCCTGCTGATGTTCTAACCCTCTTTACTGACATGCTCTCAACTAAGGAAGATCAACAGGAGACATGTAGTGAGTTCCTTCTCTTATTGCACATATATTTTATTTTATTTTATTGCTGTCACTTAATAATTTTATTTTTATTTTAATTTTTGTTGTATTTATTTTAGTAACAACGTTTAATCTGGTTATCCTGTTTTTTGTTGTTGTTTTTTTTGCCGTAATCTGAATTATTGCTATTTTATTTGTCTTTATTCATTTTATATTAGCCAGTGTTTTTGCTCTGATTGGGATGTGTGCAGATCCAAACACAGTGCTTGCTGGTGACAGTGTGATGGTGCATCTAGCCATGTGTAGGAGAGCAGGTCTTGGGAAAGGGAAGAGGATCTTCACTGGGACAAGCGCTAAACTGGAGAAAGAGAGCAGCGTCCCATCAACAATGATCTCACCTGCTGTCACCTCTATACCACTGAATGGGTTACATACTCCACTAATTCCTTTCATTTAATTTTTTTCTCTTTATTTGTTTATATGCACAGTTTAAGAGTAAATTGCATGTCAGCATGTGGAAATGAAACCTATTATTATTATTAATTTAATGTTTTATTTATTTATTTCAATCCTCATATATCATAAAAAAATCATAATGGATTTGTTTAAATAAAATATTGAATCATATTAAAAAATATTAAATATAATAAAATATATGGTAGCATTTGCTGCTTGTAATTATTGCAATTTAATTATTGTAAATTACTGGGCATGTGTGATTCCCAATTAACCCCAAAATATGTCTTTCTCTTAATTAAAAAGCACTCTGTAGCAGTATCATTGAGATGCTATTATAGTTTTTATTAATATTTAGTTATTTTTTTAATATACATGTTTTCCCTTTTCATTTTAATTTTGGTTAAATTTTAATTTTATTAATGAGTCATTTAATTTTATTAATGAGTCATAATTTTTATATAAAATTTTATTTGTTGTATTTATTTTAGTACATCAACTAAATGGGAATAAGAAATGTTACCTTGGCAATATAGATGTTGCAGAAAAAAGAAAATGAATGACAAGTTCAGATCAGACAGTCTTTATTTGTCGTCATTCTCTCTGTTGTTCTCAGGTTGGATGACACTACAGAGCTTTGTGAGCAGGTTGTGGATGTGACTGCTCAAGTGTCCGAGTCAGACTCCGCCAACTCCACTACCGCTCTGCTACAGACCTTTGCTCTGGTGGAGTCCCTGGAAGTCCACAAAACCTGCCTCTCCGCTACTGTCTCTGCTCATTGTGGCCCATCAGAGCAGCTCTTCGCTAGGCGAGATGCCTCCAAGGCCCCAAACTCAGACAATAAAGAAGCTCCACTAAATTCCTGTGACACTGTGCCACATCCAAAACCTCACACACAGACCTGCCAGTGTTCAGAGAAAGCCCAGCTTCAGGACTCCAGCTTTGAGGTGATTTCACTGGGCAGTGGGTCATCGTCTGGGTTCTGCGAGCGGCTTGTGGGCGGTTCTGGTGCTGAAAAGTTAAATGAGTCTCAGCAGGGACATCAGCTAGCGGAATCAGGCAGCACCTTTCTGGATTTGAACTCTAATGGAGATGTCATTGTTCATGCCATGTCAGAGATGGACCTGAATGACAGCGTTGAGATCCCATACTCATCTGCAGATCTTAACCGTTCGCTTAGCTCATGTGACACCGCTGAGCTCCTGCGTACCCCTTCACCCTTCATTGTGGAGTCTGACCCTGAAGCAGAAGCTCAAATCTGCCCAGAGCCAGAGACGACACAAAAACCTGCCCTATCACCACAAGAGCAAGAACAGCAAGCAAGCCCTCAGCCGAAGACTCTAGAGCAGCTGCCAAAAAATCATCTAACCATGCTTCGGGAACAGTGGAATTCCTTTTCGGAACATGCTATCGACCGTGTTCTGGATCTCCGTAGGGGTGGAGTTTTGTTGCCAGGTGACACTCCTGCCACCTCCACTCCTAAGAAGGTCAAGGCCAACTCTTCCATTCCAGAGGGCAGGATTCATGTGACCTGCTACAACAGTGACAGAACACCAGTTGGTATGTCAACAGTGTCCCTCTAATTTACCTGCTGTAAGGACCAATAATGACCATATTGTATCAGATTATATAAGGGATGGTTAATATTGTTAAAGTCCTTTAAAATAGAGGAAGATGTGTTACATTGTAAGTATATTAACTAACAAGTCCATAGAAAAATATACTGGATAGCATATTAATAATAGTAATAATTAGGGCCTGAGCACCAGTGGTGTGAGGACCCTATTGGAATTGCTCCGTTTCATATTATATATATACATTATTATTGTAATATTGTGGCATTGTTCATTTTGTTGCAAGGCTCGTTGTTTTCTACTTTGTAGTGGTTAATTTTTCCTAGTGGAAGCTTTTAAGGGACAGTTCACCCAAAAATGAAAATTGTCATAATTTTACCAAACATTATGACTGACTTAAACCCAACAGAAGATATTTAGAAAAATTTTGGGAACCAAACAATATAGGAGCCCATTGAATTCCATTAAATGAACAGTGATATTTAGCAAAATATCTTCTTTTTGTTGCATAGAAGAAAGTTTTGCAACAACATGACTGTGATCAAATGACAGAATAATTTTGCGTGAACTGTCCCTAAGTAAGGTAATCCACCAGTGAGATAATAAAATAATTTATGCTCCAAATCAACATTTCATATCCATTTATTTATTTGGCAAGTAGCCGTGTAATAAGCATGATATTGTAGTCATTATTGCAAAATAAACCCCTTCAGGGTGATCCAAGACCCTTATCTGGGTTTATTTTGTGATAATGACTGTTCGTTGTCTCTTACTGTACTTCATTTTTCCATTTCAAACCGTGTACTCTTTCTGTATGCTTGGTCTCAAAAGCACCATCCATCTTTTCTACTGTACATTTATGATGTTTCAGTGCATGAATACAACTGATACCGTGGTAATTTTCTCACTCTGTGTAGAGGTGCAGTGTGATGTATGCTGGGTGTCCCTGTCCAGTGGCAGCTCCCTGGTCTGTCTATGGCTAAGTGGGAGTCATCTCCTGCTCCACCACCAGGAGGCACTAATGTCTCCCACAGTGAGGACAGGAGCCCCAGAACAGGAGGCCTTTGCTTGTAGCCTTGCTGAGGTGAGCTGCCTGAATACTTTAAAACTGAGCTCTTTTAAAGGGATAGTCCACCCAAAAATGTTGTTCTTTCTTCTGTTGAACACAAAAAAAGATATTTTGAAGAATCAAACCAAACAGTTTCTGGTCCCTATTGATTTCCACTGTATGGACCTAAAAATACAAAGGAACTCAATAGGAACCGAAGTTGTTTGGTTACCAACATTCTTCAAAATATCTTCAATTGAGTTCCTCAGAAGAAAGTAAGTCGTACAGATTTGGAACATCATGAGGGAGGGTAAATGACATCATTTAAATTTTTGGGTGAGCTATAACTTTAGTATCTGCATTTAAGATAAAGCGACAAACTTCCTTTCTTCCTCATTTAGGCAGTTCGTTCAGATGCCTTGCGCTCCTCTGTGGACCTGGAGCAGTCCGGAGCATGTGAGGGTCAGTTTGAAGAAGACTACTGTCGACTGCGCTCCATTGGAAAGGGAGCCTTCGGCTTTGTCTGGCTCGCTGCAAGACGGATAGATGGACAGGAAGTCAGTGACACTCTCTCTGCATTCACTGGTGTTCATACACTCATATTCATCCGTTGCGAGATAATAACTTGATAATGACGTCAGTTGTTTGTCAAGAGATGATGTTTACACACTGAGTCAGTGTCATTGCTGGAGGGTGTATCCAGTCTTTTATGGACTTTTATATGAGCTGGTGAAGAGATGTTGAATTTATTATCACTTCAATTTCAGGTGGTTGTGAAGTTCATTAGGAAAAGTGCAGTGGTGAGTGAATGCTGGGTGGATGATCCTGATCTGGGTCGGGTCAGTCAAGAAGTGGCCATACTGGCTCGCCTGCAACACCCCAATATTGTGAAGGTACACTGAGAGAACTGTTTGAGTTCATATTAAATATTTAGAATATTTTGTTGCCAAAATTAAATGATGCAACATAGCCTCCTAAAAAAATTTAATATTTGGCAATTAGGTTCCTTAAATGCAAATGTTGTTGTTGAATGTCCATTTCAATCTGTGCACATGCTTTAAAACCTTGCCGCAAACAACTTGACCCACTCTCAAACACTAGCTTGTTCATGTCGTGAAGACGCTGTATCCTACGCTGGAAAAGTACATTTGATTTATTTTCACTTCCGAAAGTTTAGGCTGCAAAGAATCAGTGGTTAAAATTAGTGGCCGAATATATTTATAAATATTTAATAAAAAATATAATTAAAAATGAAGTAAACTGTAACCAACAGAGCACTCAGTATTCTGGGAAGTTTGTGTGCATTGGGAATCATATTTTTTCAAATAAAGCCAAGGTAACACTCATTTTACATACAGCACGCAATGAAAATGACATGAATATGACCGTGGACAAAATGCATAAAGCGCAGCATAATTTGAAATCACGAATTGAATGTTTAAAGCATTTAATCCGTATTAGACAGAACTGTTAAAGGGGTCATATGATGTAGCTAAAGAGAACATTATTTTGTGTAATGAAATGTTTATGCGGTTTAAGGTTGTTAATGTTGTGATTGGCCGAATACCTCAAGCGTGTGACGGAAATGTTACACCCCTTACCATATTGTGATGCCCTGTCCGGC